AACGTCAAACAAATTCAGCTAAGCGAGAGTGCAAACCGCAAACTTGTCCCCAGACCCTGAAACACTAAATTTTCAAGCGTTGCTTCCCCCTGGCGGCCAGAAAGTGAAGAAGCGCGACGGCCAGTCTTGCTTGCTACATCCACTTCCTTACATTGGCTTCCACAGGATGAGCCATTGGGACTCATGGGAGAGGCATCAGTGGGGAGAATGTTGTTTAGCAGAGGGTCCCTTTATTGTAGAGGTCGGATTAGGAGTAAGGATCCCTTGTAGTCACTCAGATAGTTATAGTAGAATCTACCCCCAAACCCATTCTGATGATGAAGTTCGCTATATTCGGGCTTTACAGGGGAGCCTTTTTTTTGGGGGGGAGGGGGGGGGGGGGGTCGTGAGACTTCGGAGTTTGGGTCTTCAGGGGGTTGAGATGTTATGGAAGGGTAATGAGGCCATGGTTTCAAAGAGGCTCTGGTTGAAATAAAGTGTGAGGACTTTGGAGTGGGTTTGGATGACGGTTTCGAGAATGCTTCAGGGTTGACGGCTTCAGGTTTTGGGGGTTCGCATGCGGAAGCTGGGTCTTGTCTGGACGAGACTATCAAATCATGCTTGTTGTCCTTTCCGGCCAGGAAGCTTAGTTTTCGAAAGTGACACCAGACCCTGTTCGAGCGAGTCTTCCACAACCCTCACGTGCAACGTAAGCAGATTCGTCCAAGTCCCAGGCTTGTGCACATCAGAACCAGGTCCTGGTGGACTATTGAAGAGGAACCCTGATGGTAAGAAGAACAAGCTCCTCCACCCATCACGGGCCAAGGAAAATTTCGAGTCGTCACGAAGGAGGTCTGCATGCCCTTTCTTCTCGTGCTTTGCACACAGCCCAAGCCCCGCCACACATGATCCCAAGAAGCGTCCAAGGGGCCTCTGAGCTGGGAACCGACATTCAAGGAGTAGAGCACAGTGTCCTGGTCTGTCAGAGTGCACTAGCCCGAAAGGTTTGGGACGTAAACCGATTCAGGCCGCTGATGTTTCGCCAGGTACTTCGTTGCTCGGGCCCTCTGTGCGAACACACTGCAAGCATTTGCAGGGTCTATAGGATGCTCGAGTTTCGGAATGAGGGTGTGGAGCTCAATTTGGGGCTGCTCCACTTGACACCGGGCTTTGAAAGTTCTTCGGGAGATACTTCGGAATCCGATGCTGCTCTTCCCGACTCATGGCTTCTGATATCGCTACACCACGAGTATTGTCATCGTAAAAACGAAGAGATTGCTGCTTCAATCATCAAGGGTACTGCGGTGAATTGGCACGACTCTTTTCGTCTTCGTGCTTGACTTTACTGCACGCCAGCTCTCCGAACTAGGAATCAACCATACATGTTGCAGAACAGCTGTTTTTTGGCGACGTCTCGGCAGGCTACGTACAAGGACATCAGCATCTTCTCCGGGAAGGCTGTGCAGGGGTTCAAGACGCCTCACATCGCAATGGTCCTCACATCATGGCAGGACTAGCAGCTGCAACTCGTTGCTCCTCCTTGACCTTTGTGGTTTACCTTACAATGGCGAATGCGCATGAGACAATTCTCAGCCAGGTTTGGCTGGGAAAGTACCGAAAGCAGCAAGTGAGGACACTGCACCAGAGACTAAAGCGAGGAACAGGAAGATGAAATGCAGCAGATCGCGTGCAAACCCTGACACACTAAGTCCTCGACAGCCAGTCGCACGAAACAGCTAAACTCGGGGGGCCCTGAATCTTGCACCCCAAACCTAAAAGCCCACCCGAGGCCTTAGATCTTAAACCCTAACGTACCCACCGTCCTGCAGGCTGGTGCGCAGGCCGAGGTTCGCGCACAAGAGCCTGAGGACGCTGAAGAGGAGGCTGAAGGCCACCTATCAGTGCTGCAGGGCCCGTTTGAACTTTGTTCAGGGTCTGAAGAGTGTTTTGGGTTTAGAGCGATTGACTTAGAATTTAAGGACTTGACAGGTTAAATGGTCCCCGTGCCGGGTCCTGTCGCGCAACAGGAGCTGGGTGAAACGCACCTTTGGTCCGCTTGCTCCAAAGCCAGTGGTTGGTCGATAGATAGATAAGTAGACAACCAAGGAAGTAAGTAAGCAAGGAAGTAAGTAAGTGAGTAAGTAAGCAAGCAAGCGAGCAAGTGTGTATGTATGTATGTATGTATGTATGTATGGATGGATGGATGGATGTATGTATGTATGTATGTATGTACGTAACGAGAAAAAGAGAGAGAGAGAGAGAGAGAGCGAAAGCGACGAGCGAGCAGAGCGCGTGCGTCTGTATTTGTAGGACAAGATAGAGCTTTCTTTGCATGTGTATGCTGCGCACGTGTGTATATTAATATATAGAGAGAGAGGCATGTATAGTACATATGTATGTATGTATGTATGTATTTATGCATATATCTATATACACACTTATATTTAAATTTTTTATATGTGTATATATATACATACATACATACATACATACATACATACATACATACATGTATAAACGGAGATGTACTGCAGATAGATAGGCAGCAAGATAGATAGATAGATAGATGGAGAGAGATAGACAAGAAGACAGGCAGATTCTCTACGTATGTGTATGTATCTGTATATGTATATGTATTTGGCACATATATACATATATATGTGTGTGTGTGTGCGCCTGTACGGCGTGCATATAGTATATAGATATGTGGTATGTATGTATGTATGTATGTATGTATGTATGTATGTATGTACGTATGTATGTATGTACGTATGCGTTTATGTATTTATGTATGAATGTGCATGTGTGTACATATACTATACATATGCATCTAAACAGTCTACTTTCCCGTTTCCGTTTGCTCGGTGATGTGGTGCATTTGGTCCTCATTTCCGAAAAACCATACAACCGGAGCTTGTCTTCTTCCAGTTCTGCTGCTGACTTTCCAAGCCACAGTCTTCAGTGATGCTTCCCAGGAGCCGCGGAAGAGCTGTCAACACCCGCAGTCACTGCACCGGAGGCAGAAGAAGCAGCGACTCGGGCCTACTCCTTGCAGCTTGGGATGTTCGTGGTCGGATTTTCGTGGGGAAACAAAGGACTTGCATCCCCAGCTCTCTTGTACACGCGACACTGCTGATCACCTACGGCGCAGTTGTGAATAGAAAAGGAAACACCAGATGGCGTAGCTTCTGAATCTGAGCTTTCCCGTTGCATGGCTTGCAGCTGAGGCTTTACTAGGTGTTGTAGCTGCCTACTGACCCTGACGCCCATACCCAAGCCCTCGACCGCAAGCTCCACGGGTCTTCGTTTCCGTGAATCACGATTGGCACGGTTTCAAGGCAACGCGCCTTTGCAATATAGGAGCAAAACCCGTCTGCAAAAGCACCAAACAGATGGAGGGCAAAGCAGTGCACACAGCGGGCAAGGAACTCGCACCAAAAGATTGTAAACCCTTCACAGACGCTCCCGCGGAAGCCCTCTCAGCCTCCCAGGTACCTGAGGCTGACACAGCGGAGGGTTTCTTGGCGCCAGCACATGTGGCAGAGCTATCTTCGCGGTCTTCTCGATGCTGTGAGATATGTTCCCGCAGCTGGTAGGCTTGTGATCGTGTCACGTTTGTTCTGTCGTTGCTGCTGTAGTGCGGATTTACATCTGAAAGTTGACTTGCGCGCATGCCGTGGTTTTTGGCCCTCAAAGTTGCAACACCCCCCAAGCCCAATTCTCATTACTAAGGCCGCTATATTCGTCTTTTTGTCGCGAGGGCTCGTGCACCTTCTTTGCCGGGTTCGGGTTCTTCTAACAGTACGAGCATATTGTTTTATGTTATGTGATCATACTTTACAGTATCGGTGGAGATTATACCATTGTACCCGTAGATTAAGCTCAATCTGCCGACCGCGAACTGAGAACTTCACCTGGCAAGTCCGAGTGTGAGAGCGTGGACCTCTTCGTTCGACAACCCTCAACACACCACCCTACTTTCTCAATGTAAAACTCTTTCGAACCCTCCACCACAGCGATAGTTTGGGAGGCCCTAAACCGTACCAAACTACTTCTCGGAAGAATGGGGGGGTTCTTAAGGTGTATGTATGTATGTATATATATATATATGTATGTATGTATGTATAGATAGATAGATAGATACCATGTACTATGTACGATCTTTATTATGTCATACATAGCATGGCGGGGTCTCCAAGAAACGCTCCTCTTCTTGAGGTGAGCCCGCGAAAGCCGAGTCGAAGGCTGAGGCCGAGGCGAGCTGTCGGCCCGTGGGCCCAAGTGGCGTTAGGAGTTTGTTGACGAAGGGAGGTGAGGGGGTTAGGAATCAGGGTTTGAGGGGGGGGGGAGGGGGGTGGGGGGGGGNNGGGGGGGGGGGGGGGGGGTTCCAGGGATTGTGGGCGCCTTTTAAGCGATTTCCTTAAAGGGTTTAGGATCCAGGTAGTTTGCGTAGGACTACAAGGGGTACCGTTCTGCAGTGCTCTGTATCATGTGGATCGTATTATTTCAGGGTCTGATTAGCTTTGTGAGCACCAACCCCTTCGGAACTAGTTGGACACATCCCAGTTGGCAGAATGTGAATACATCCAAATAAACGCGGCAATTGCATTTCCCTGCGGCAGGGCCAGCATCAGGAAAATGCGAAAACATGCACTTGTTTGTTGTTTTTCGTTGTTGCGAAGTGAAGATGCATCGGAAATACATCGACAAGCCATCTAGACAATGCATGTCCCGGCAAACGCAGACGCTACAGTTGGGATGGGTTTTTTTCATCGTTTTGGAGCCTGAGGTACCGCATGTTTTTGCGTTCCATGGATTTGGGATTTTGAAGGGATCGGGGATCATAAGATTAGGTCCGCTAGTGTCTGAAACTCTCACTTTCGACTTTACGGTCGAGGCTCGAAGATTCAAAGTAACAGTACTGAGGTGAGAGACCAAGAGGTTCAAAGACAGCAATGAAAGACCGGGGGAGGAAACCACGGCGGACCTCCGATACACTCTACCCTGCAAAGAACTCCCAGTTGAGCAACATCCTCGCGAACACGACAGCGCCGCGCTTGGATGATGACTTGAAGCTGGAAGCCCCTTGGTCGCAGTCTAGGGTTCACAGACTTGGTGGTGTGAGGGCTTAGGCATGAAGGTACGGGGCTGGCGGGTCATCTCAGCGACCAGGGGAACATCAAGAAATGCAGTCGCTTCCTGGTTCACCAAAAGCACCACATCGAATCTGCACAATCGTCGTGGAAACAGTCATCGTCATTCCCAACGCAGCTCCTATGAGCCCTAAGCTAAAGAATCCCAGACCCATGTTTCTATGTTGCTGGAGCTTAACCTCTCCAGCCCGTGTACTCATTAAATTTGTTGGTTGTCGGTTGTTGTGCAGAAGGGCGGGCACTATTGCAACACTTCTCACCAGTATCCGCGTTTCCGAAAACGCTCGCTTTTGAACATGTCCTTCAGCACCCTACTACAACTTGCATTTGTCCCCGAGCACCTCAAGCCGCAAACCTCTTTAAGCTCTGTCAAACTCCTCCCTTGGCACCCTAAGCCCTCAACCCTGGTAACTTTCTTTAGCACCTTAGGCCCCAAGCCCAAACAACAGCTTCAGGAAAAAATCATCTGCACCCGGCGAAGGATCCCGAAACCCTACAGCCCGAAAACCCTAACACCATTGGTCCGTCTCTCTTAGGAATTATGTTTTATTCTTACAAGAACACTCTTTCTATGCTGGTTCTAAGGGCGACGAAGCCTAAACCCCTAGAAGCTGAAGCCCCGAAGCCTGAGAAGTTCCATCTTCGGCGCCGTCCGAGGCCGCCAAGGTTCGGAGGGAGAAATCGCTCCTTGAGAGGGCCTACAAGGCTCCAGCCTTTTTAGGGCTTAGGTTTAGGGTTGCATCACGTGGCTCAGAAAGGGCTGTAGCGAGGGTTTCCATGAGGGGGCTTCCGAAGGGCTCCAGGGCTTAAAGTAGAGTGTTTGCAACCCCTTGCTAGTCGCGATGCTTCAGACATGTTGAGTTTCTCGGCCCGGCGCTCCTCTGATGGTGGATCTTGTTACCAATATTGCTTGAATCAAGGTCTAGGTCTTTGAGCTGTACGGGTGCACATAAAGCGGGTTGGGGCTTGTTGAGTTCGAAGACCCACGGCTCAGGGCTTTTGGGATGCTTTGGGCTTCCGAATGGTGCTCGAAAGGACAGGACCTAGAGCCCCAACTGGGCTTCAGAGTCGATGTCAAAAACTCGCTTTGGTTTCTGAATAACGGGTTTCGGGTGCAGGCTCCGTCTGCACTTGCAGTTTTGGCAAAGAACGGCGGAAAGCCCTGAACCCCCAGCTGCATCCTATGCGAGAAAGGAAAAGTCAACAGGAGGAACGCCCGAGCCCATCTTGCAAAGCTGGAAAGCAAGCTTTTCTGATTCTGCATTGGCTCCATGTCTCTTCTACTCCTACGCAAATACTATCATCAGTCCGGGTTCCGTGTCAAACTCACCTGGTGTCAGGCGTGGCGCAGCTGGAAGGAGGCCGGTAAGATCCAAAGCACTGAAAATTTAACCGTGTCAGGATAAGGAGTTCCTGTTTTGTGGACTCTGAACAGGGATCCATGTTCAACATGGACAACACCTGGAGAGGAAAGACGTGCGATCTTACGAGGCAGGTGTACAGAGGATGTATAGACCGCACATGGATATTGATGTAGTATGGACTCAACCTGCTGGTGGTTATACGTAGAAGCTGCCATGCTGGCACCCTGAAAGTTGAATGAATGTACTTCAAGTTTCAGCCACAGCGCAAGGTCACGCCACACAAACATGCTTCGGAACAGGCTGAATATGGCCGAATAAGTCCCGCGGAAATTGGAAGACTTGGCTCCTTGAAGCGCCGACACCGCATAGGGCCTTCATGACTTGAAGCCTGAACAACAAGCCTTTACTGCGGAAGGAGAAGGACAAGTCCAAGCGTGCCCGGGAGGAACAACGAAGGAAGCGCCAAGAGTTTGTAAAGCAAGGCGGGCATGGTGCTGGTTCTTGTCATGGGTAATGTACTTCGTATGGGAATTTCCAGAAAACATTGATATTATAGGCCCAACAAAGTACGATCCGTTTTTTTTGAGTCCCCGAAACAAAAATAGCAGCCCAGATTTTCAGCAACCCCTTGTACGGTGGTGGTCGATTGCATGGCGGCGGTTATGGTCACAGTGGGCCGGATACTCCTAGTTTCAGTCTTGTTATTGGGTTTCGACTGTCAGTGCCCTCAAAAAGCTGGTTTCCCATCAATGCTTATCAAACGGTGGTATTGTAGACATAGCTACAGCAGCGCTCCACCACTCTTCTAACACTTTGTGTTGGTGCTGCCACTGTAGCTGATGCTACGGCTACCACCATGACTAGGACCAACTTACTGCTACCCACATTCCCACAGACTTCTGCTGCTAATGCTACTTGGGACTGCTACTAAGGGTACCGCTGCTGCTACTTCTACTGCCGCTGCTGCTGCTCCGGCTGCTACTACCACTACTCCTACTTCTTCTTGTTCTCGTTCTTCTTAAGGTTACGTACTACCTCATTTCTCTTCTTTTAGCTGCCACGACGACGACGAAGACCACCACCACCATGTCCAGTATCACTGCAGCGAGTACGATGGCAGACTAGCAGTGCATTTACGTATGAGCTTTACTATTGGTTGTGTATTGTTGCTTCCTCAAAGCACCGGGATTTGTCGTGATCAGTCTGAGAATGGTTGATGCTCTAATGTTGAGATGATGTTGATGACTGCAGGTACATCAGAAGCACCACGACAAGAAGCGAAGCATGCACAGTCTAGCAGTCGCTTAGTTGGGATGGGCTTCCGGCGGAAGTTTGGCATGGAGGCATGAGGAGAAGCACTATCAGAATCAGACGGTATCCTTCCCTTTTGAACAGCAGGAGAAAAGGTTCTGATGAGAACAACAGTCCATACCTCTTTGGTTAAACAGATTTAATGCTTGTTGCTTGAGTTGCAGTCTAAGGCACAAGACCATAGAAACATGTTCCGGAGCTCATTCATCGCTTCCCTTATCTCTTTGCTCTGCCTACACAGCCTGAGATGATGATCATGCGAGCATCAATCCCGGTTACCCCTAGGCCCTAGATGCTCAACGGCTGGAGGAACTAGATCCCTCGCCTGATTGCAAAAGTCGCCTTCCCAAAAAGCGTATACCCAAGATTCATCAAAACCCGAGACTGCAGACCGAGTCATGCTTTTCGTGGAGGTGAAGAGGACGAGGTAGAGGACCGTGACCCGTGGGAGACCGAGGAATTGAGACTTCGCACCTCGGCCTTTGCTGGGTTACTTTAGAGGCTTCATTTTGGGTCTGGTTTAGCTCCTTGGGAGTTCGTGGTGGCATGGGTATGCACTTTGCCAAGGCTTTGCAGGGAAAGCGGTGAAGTTTTGGGGCTGGTATGCCTGTGGGTTCTCTGGGGATTTTGGAAGCGCAGTAGACCCCGCACAGGCGCCACAGCTGCAGAGCTTTGTGCAGAGCTGCTGGGAGGTGAAGCAAAAGCCTCTTGGCAGTTTTTAGACATAGATTGCAGAGCCTATATGGACGGCGCACCCACGTTATCAGGGGCTTCTACTTCACATGGGCAGCTAGAGGAAGAAGCAAGGCTCGGCCTAAACCCGAGCGCTTGTTTAGAACCTCAACGTTTTCACGCTTTGGCAGCAGGCTCCGGGAGGCAAGGCCGTGTTCACAGACTGGGGTTCATCTGCAGTGATGAAGCTCCCGGGCTCCCACTGGCCTCTTAAGCAACGAGGAATGCTTGTCCAAAGCTACGTCTACACAAACCCCCGAGCCCTCCAGCCAGAAGCTGCATGGCACAAACCCACCCCCCCCCACCCACCCAGAAGTGGCCCAGGGGACCCCGAAAGTGCTGCTTGAAGAGCTGGAGAAGTGGTTTGAGCACTGCCTGAGAATGATGAAAGGGCACCGGCAGAGGCCAGTTCATACTATTGGGGCCTGAATAGCTTGGGAGGGTTTGTTCTGCTATTCTTAGACAGTGCTGAGGGTTTCGGCTTTTGGGGTTTCATGGGGTGGCCCTAAGTGCCAGTTCACCGCCCTGGCTACAACCTCCGAAGACAAATGAATCAGCTTGCCCCGTTAAGGTCTGGGCATGGAGCGATGTCACCTTATCCGTTTGTTCTCATGCTTGCACGATCCATGGCCTTCAGAGGCTTCCGACGGTTTAGAGAGTCAGCAGTTTAGTAGGGTTCGGGGTGAGGTGTTTCGTAGTTACAGGTGTCAAAGTTGCTTTCGTCGTCCTGTCGTGCCAGGCGCCATCGTTGGATGATTCGTGGTGGCGGTGGCGGTGGCGGTAGCGGCGGCGGTGGTGGTGCTCGTGGTCGTGGTCGTGGTCGTGGTCGTGGTGGTGGTGGTGGTGGTGGTGGTCGTGGTGTCGTCGTCGCCGTCCCCGAAGCAGTCGTTGTTGTAGTTGGTGGCAGGTATTTGCCGGTGCAGCAGCAGCAGGAGCAGGGGTAGGAGTAGTGGTCGTCGTCGTCGTAGTAGTAGTCGTAGCAGTACAGTAGTAATGGTAGCGGCAGCAGCAGTAGTAGTAACAGTTGCAGCTGTAGGAGTAGCAGGAGTACTAGTGCGAGTACTATATAGCAGAGAAGCAACAGCAGCAGCAGCAGCAGCAACGGCAATGGTAACAGCATTACATGCAGACTGCAATCGGTATTCCCGACAAAATACGGATGCTTCCAGGTGGAACAGGCAGGTGCGAGAGACGTTCGAAGAGCATTCCGAGTCCCTCAACGAGAGCCTCAGCCGAAGACGACGCCTCATGGTTTCGGACCCGATAGGGTTGCTGTGGACACAGTAAAATGAAGCTTGGGAGCATAACGACCAGTTCAATCCGAAACCTAGACCTGACATTGACTTCAGCTTGGCAGCCCCAAGATCTGCAATCAGCAATCCTCAGACGGTACGCCTAAATGCGCAGCCAATGCGAACAAGTTCGACAGCTTTGCTGCAGCTTCCACATTGTCGCACTCTGGTTTGGAGGGCCGACAGTTGCCTCAGCAAGCACCAGTCATTGCGACTGAAGTCGGTCGCTTCTGTGAAGAGGGTGATTTTGGAAGGTAAGGCAGGGTGCAGGATACACTCACTCATCCATAGTCCATGTTCCTGCGAAAGCAAGCTGGTAAACTGCTGTCGCCAGAAGCGAAAGATGTCTTGTTACAAGCTGCCATCAACAGTCCACGTCCCTTCCACCTATTTACTTTGGTAGCTAGTTCAAGCCCGTGCGATAGCGATCAACGCATTCCCCGAGTATGAGAGGTATCGTCGCTTTCTGTATGGACCTGTAGGATGTTGTGCAGCTGTGAATACGACTAGCATAGATCCTATTACATCCAGGCACGGGCAGCGGCCTAAACTGGAAACCAACCGAGGCGTTTCGATGCCCTGCTGGGGGAGCTGGAAGGCGAAGATGGCTTCACGATCTGCTGTGAAAAGTTGGGCCACGATGCAGCTGGGCTGTGAATTGTCGAAGTGGCTTCGACCTCCACCGAAACGACGTCCGCACAATGGCTGGGCTAGTTCGATTCAGGCTTGCACTCCAAACATCGTCGTGTCACGTCCGAGCTCTGAATTCCATCCTTCTTGTGGCATCAACACGTGCTGCTGCTGTTCCTACTCTTCCTCTCCTCCTACTACTACGACGACAGCGAATACTGGACTCAGTGTGCTGCATGGTGTGGCAAAAGTTGTGATATTAGTCTGTTCATGCGGTTGTTATTGCAGCACAACCATAGATGTTGGTACCAATGTTAGGGCTACGACGTTTGTAAAAATCTCACCAGAAAATCAGAAACCCAAAGACGCCTCCGCCGACAGATCGGCTGCAGCTTTGGGGCTACAAGAATCCCCCAACAAGAGCTTAGAGCCCTGCACTCTCCTGGAGGAACCGTGCCCTGCAAAGAAGACTCAGGTGATGCAGAGCCTGGGCGAAGCCAGCATGTGTCAGAAGGACACCTTGCAGCTCGGAGGAATACGAATCGTGCTTCTGAGTTGTATGGGGAGGGGGGGGGGGTGTCGGCCGCAGAGAGTGAGTTTAGGGGGAGTTCGGCCTCTTTGGTCTTCTGAGAATATGGGTGCAAATTCGTGCAAACTGCTGCCTGTCCCCAGCGCACCAACCAGACTCATTAAGGCAAGAAAGCAAGAAAGCTGAGCAGACCTCCATGGGCCCCAGTTCCTTCAACTTACACCCCGAATTCCCTTGTATGGGTTTCTTGAGGTGTTGGCCCTGCGGAGTTTCAGCCTGAAAACTTGAGCATACAGACCTCTAGCCGAATCATCCCCCAACCCTATAGGATCAGAGTTCTGAGACTTTGAAAACCAGCAAGGATGGCCTGCGCCTTGAATGCGCACCAGAAATCGGGTCTACTGAGGACATGTCAGTTGCGTGTGCACGCGGCGATTGGGCTTAGCGAACTGCTCGCGGCTGGGAGCAACTCAGGAGGTTTCGTTTGATGGGGGCCCTTCAAGGGGGTTGAAGAAACGTGCGTTGTTGCATCTAGGGTTGCAGGGCACAAAAACACAAGCCTTTCATATCAAACCCCAGAGCTTCCAAGACCTAAGACCAAGAATCCTGAACCCTTGCTGGGGTTAAGGCGGAGGCGTGCAGGGACGAGGGCACCGAGGCAACGATCCGGATGTCCACAAGACAGGAGGGTGGAGGGTTCCGGAAGTTCCGCTCCATAACAAGACTACTACCCTGCAGGGTCTACGTCAAGAGGGTCCTTTGTTTTCTGAAACTCCCGCAACGGTTGCTGAACTTAAAAGATTTGGGGTTGAGGCTGGTGTTGATTCCATTGCTACGCATGGTGCGTTTCGATGTTTGTGCATGTGTTTTCGTAAATCTTCATGCATCCAGTACCCGAATCCCTACTGTCACCTTCCCTTTTAGTCTCGTCAACTGTGAACTGTGCTGATGTATATAATGGTTCCTGGATAGAGGCGGGTGCCATGACAAACAGGCATCTTTCAGACCGGGAGCTTAATATTGTATTGATAGCTGAAGATGCCAGCTTGGTGCAATGCTGCTGCTTGTAAGCTCGTTGGTTTCACAGCCAGTCATGCCACTCCTGCAAGGTCCGAGTTTGACCGCCGAAACTCTGATACGGTTGGAAGGTTTGAGGACTTTCAAGATGAAGACCGGGTTTAGGGCTTGGGTGTCCGTAGCGGTGTTTTTTGCCGCTAGCATCACGGCTGTTGTTGTTCGGAATGGATCAAAAATGAACCCCTCAGCCCAAAACCAAGATGAAGAATTGGGCCAGAGGGTTTAGCGTGTACGGCTGGACAGGGGGGTTGCGACGCTGGTGGTGGCGGTTATTTCAGCCCTTAGCGTATGTGTGTATGTAGGATTATGTAGGTATATATGTATGTATGTACGTACATATATATATATATGTTTGTATACAAACACATACATACAAATAGACATGTGAGTATGCATATGAGCATAAATCTAAGTGTACGTGTATAGAGATATATATATATATAGAGAGAGAGAGAGGGAGTACTATATGTATATATACAAAAACACACATACATGTACAGAAGTGTGTGTGTGTGTGCGTGTATTAGATTTGGACTCCCCCGGCCTCCAAGGCGGCATGGAGATCGAGAAGGGATCTTGTGTTTTAGTTTGTGCGGTTATGGTGGCGTAAGACTTCAAGAAGTGAGTAGCATGCGGCATAAGGAGTTCCCAACCAGGTACGACTTTCCACGCCAAAGCGCTTGGATCGGCACGTGAGAATAACGTTGCTTCTCACAGGTCCTTCTCAATGTCCGGGTTTACAGGCTGTGTCTTCTGCGTATCACGAGCGAAAACATAGACAGACAGAGGGTCCTCATAACTGCCAAGACGCTGCATCATAGTGCTTGTCAGGAGCTGCCAGGCCTCAGCCGCGATAAGTTCCATGCATTTATGGTCTTGGGACTTGCTGGCCTGGCTTTGTCAGGTCAAGCCCGTCATCCAGTGGCTGCACTACGTCTTGGCCACTCCCAATTTCGCACCCTGTCTCAGACTGCAATCCTAGCATGGAAACGGATGGTGTCATGTTTTAGTTAACATGAAGTTCTCGGTTGATGCAGCATTTCTGGTAGTCTGGCTGCGAAGATAAGACAGCTGCATTTCCGAAACAAAACTCTGAAGGTTGCAGGGGGGTCACTTTCAAGCATGGAGCCGGGGTTTTGGGTCAAGGGTTCAAGCTGGGTGCACGTGCGCACCCTGACCCGTGGCCCACTGCGAAAGAGCTGTCATGGCTTAGGGAGCAGTGGACATTTAGGCTTTGCGCAGCGGTTTGGGAGACTTCTGGACATTGCGCTAGGGTGCTGCTGCTTGTGCTAGTCGCTGAAAGTCCGAAGTCGAGCAGATGGCTGTTTTCTGGACTCCGCAATGCTGTCATACTGAAGAAATTCAGTACACTTCCGCGTTTTGTACCGGCTGCTAGTATGCCATTCACAGGCGCTTTGTTCCAAACCGCAAACAACCTCCCAGATGTTTCAGAGGGAGCCTCAGCTGGGATGCTTTCTGCAGGATTTGCCAGCAGAAAGGGGGAAGCGCCCGGTCCTGTCCGATGGGGACCAGGCTTGACCAACAAGCTGGTCCTAGCTCGTGTACTCTATGTTATCTTGTGCGTAGATGCTGCTTACAATATATAGCCTATGTTTATGTGCGTTTATAAATATATGTGTGTAAAGGTATTCAGTTATGCATACGTACAGACATGCATGCGCGCATGCATGCATGCATACATACATACATACACAAAGGCAAACCTAAGAAAATGGGTTCACGGGTGGTTGGGTGGGTGTGAATGTGTATGTATGTAGGTATGTATGTAAACCTACATACATACACACAGACATAGGTATATATATATATAATATCTATTTATATTTATTTATATTTATATAGTGCAGGGCTGCCCCCCCCGCCCCCTCCGCCCGCACCCCATGGTATCCCTGATTTGCGTGTCAAGTGGCTGCTTTTGTTGTTTGGCTTGTCGCCTCCCCCGCCTGCCTCCCCCCTGTGTGCCTGGATGGTCTTGTTGGCTGGCCCCGCCTCGCATGTGGCATGCTGCCTGCAGTTTTGCTTGGGTTGTTGATCTCTGGACTTCCTTTTCCCCCCCGTCCTCCCAAGCTGTGTGTTGCTTTTGAGCAGTTAGCAGACGAGGGTAGAGGGGCAGTGTGTCGTACAGAGGTATGGTCTCGTTACCATACTAATCTGATGTTGCGCTTTCCTCCTTGCAAATGGTGCCCCTGTCCCTGCTCTGATGCGGTTCTCCCCCTCTGTGGGCTGCCCCACGGCGGATGGTTGCAGTGACACGTGTTGCCCCCGTCGTCCTCCCTGACCCCAAAGCATGCATATATATATATGTGACGACGGAAGAGCGTCGCAAGCCCTCGCATCCAACCACTTCAGAAGAAAAGCAGAATCTTGACCAAACAGGGAAAGCCACGAAGATCGTTCGCGATTTTTTATATTCACGATGTCTTGCGCAGCAGCTAGCCAACGTACTCTGCTCCGAGACCTTCAACCGTAGACCTGACATCGCACAGTCCCACCTGGTAAAATGCAGATGGCCTGCGAAAAAAGATCCTAGGGTTCTCAAGCTACCTCAGCAGTTTGAAGCTGACCTCCCGCCCCACCGTGCTGCTCAGCATTCCTTGTACACGTATGCCGATGTGTGGGGGGGGGGGGGCTGTAGCATAAAGTACAGAGTAGAGCTCACTGCCGTGTTTAGGTACATTTGTTGTTCCTAGACCTTTGCTGGTAGTTTCCAGCTTGCCATAACCCGAGATGTAACTAAAACAGACCGGATGGGCACCTATAAAGCGGAAGCTCTGAAGTTCCATTTGACGTGATTTTGCTGCGGCTGTTGGTCGTGATGTCGAGCCACGTGACATGACCGTTCAATTCGTGAGTTGGCATTTGCAAAGCAATTTGTGCCAAAAGGGGGTTGCTTATTCGGGTAGAGTTTTATGGCAAGCATCTTACTATCTAGGCTTTATGTGAAGGTCTCTTTGGTGTGTTCTTGAGTTCTTGTCTCGGCGTGGCCTTGGGCTGGCACTGCCGGTGTCTCGGAAGATCCGCTTTGCAACCTCGACGAGACTGCCAAATACAAGCCGACATCTGCAATATCAGTTCTGGACCTTAAGCGCCAAACTCCCAAGAATGTGAGCCTCATACCCACCAAGCTCCAGATCTGAAGCTCCCTTTCTCGTCTCAGGCCGTGCCGGACATGAACCCAGCTGCGCCAGCTCAGGAGCTGCCTCTGGCTGAGTCTCTGCAGAGCTGGCTTCTTCGGGTTGTGTCAAGTCTCCAAGTTGGGCCGTAAAACCTTGTCGAGGAATGGTTTTCCAGGAGAGATTCGCCGAGACTGCCAAGTAGCACGAGTCTCTCCAAGTAGGTAGGGTGAGATTGTGGGACTTGTGGGGAAGCTGCTAGAGATTCCACAAGCGCTCTTGCCGATCTCCTCTCGGTCGCCAATTTGCAAAGAATCACCCTGACACTCGCCATCTGCTCGGAAGCCCTTGCAGCGACAGATATCCAAGTAATGAGAGACTATCCATGGTGATGGTGATCATGAGAATGATGGGATCTCTGTTTCCCATGGAGTCCCTGGGCATGCAAGGGTCCTAAGCCACAAAGAGAGCCTTCAGTGTCCGCAAGACTGGGGTGCAAGAAGCTGACCGGTGGGTTCCAGATTGAGGGTTCTCGAAATACTGTCTTGTGTAGACATGCCCTGTGTGACTTTGAGGACGACGCAGAGAAGCCCGAACAGGATCCGGCGGAAGAGGTACCTGTACCCGAAACAGAGGAAGAGGCCGGAATCCGACGAGAAAGTCACTTCTTGTTTCCGTGGTCCGCCGCAGGGTAGACGGAAAGGCCTTTTCGGCTGAAGGAAATCGAGGGACACCGCATCGCGCCGATAAGATGCACGTTACGCACAGCAGAAGGTATCGTCAGAGAAGGAAAGGCACTTTCAGCACAACTCTGATGCACGTCCGTTCGTTTTCCTTGATGTTTGTCGTTCGGAGCTTCCAGACCGACCCCCTCCGGATTACATTTCTAACATGCAGAAAGCTTGCTGTGATTGTCTTGCAGAATCGCGCAGTCCAAGCGTCCCCAGGAGCACCTCGCACCAGCGCGGCCGAAAAACACAGCGATCAAAGAAAGCGATGAAACGCAGGCCATCAGTTTCTGCTCTGTTAATATGTGATGAATTTGTGTAAGCCTTAAGATGTGTTTGCGCTGGGGTTCTTGCTGTCGGAGCTGTTGACGATTAAAGGCATGCAGATGCTAAAGAAGCAGCCGAAACTGCAACTGTAGCTGCTGATCTTCCAGTCAGATTGGCGGGAACTGCTCGTAGGCTTCAAAGACTGCAAGTTCCCAAGTTTCTCTGAGCCTACCTTGCTGCTGTCCCAGTAACGAAGGAGGAGAAGCCGTCGCCGACAACAGCTGTGGTGGAGGACCCTAGCCCGCGCAGACATAGGCGATGGTACGAACTATATTATTGCGCAAGCGCTGAGCAAAACTACTCTTCCGGATACAAGCAACGTGAAGCAACAGCCCCGCGAGAAAGGCAACCTGTTCCTCAACTGTAAGCCCCCAAATCCTGTGTCCCTGCAAACTCATTCATCAAGCTCTAACATGGTGACTTGGAAAACAATTGAACTCCTCAGGGTTCTCGCATAAATATCCCCAAACACTCGCTCGTCTAGTCTAGTCATTTCTGCCGCATCCTGTTTTTGAAATCCCAAGCTCTGTTTCTTCTTAACATCTGATCACACAGCTCTAACCTTCCAAATGGTTGAGGAAGCGCCCGTCGAGTGCTTGCCCGCGCATGAGAAGGCCATGAACTGTGAGGTGTTGTTACAAGGCGGGTTGCAGGTTTTGTGTGGCTTTTTTCCTCCAAAGAAAAAGAACGGTTTGTCTTTTGTTTAAGATTCATATCTGCGTACGTGTATATCTAAGCAAGTATTATATTTACACGTATGTGTGTGTGTGTATGTATACATATATATATATATAGAGAGACAGAGAGAGAGAGAGAGAGAGAGAGAGAGAGAGAGAGATAGACGTGTGTGTGTGTGTGCCTCTCTCTGTCTCTATCTCTGTGTGATGCAACCTTCTTTCAATGGAAATTCCGTCGGCTCGTGATCTCTTTGATTCTTTTGTTTCTGGTGTGTGTGTGCACTTCTCTAGTACA